TAAATTATGTTTAAATAATTAAAATTTATTTTTTGATTTAACTTGACCTTGACTTGATTATTTAGTTACCATGGCAACTAAGTCAACCCCAACCTAAAAGTTTTTTTTTTATTGACTTTTAATCTTTTAGACTCACAGTCTGCTCTTGACGCTTGAAGTGTAAGCATATGCTCACCGATCTCTCTTAAGCAGCGTATACGATACAAATGTAGTAACGTGATAACTGGTTAACGCCGTAAAATAATAAAAAATCAATCGATTCTAAACGTGATAACTGTCCCAAGTGCAAAAGAGTGCAAATTGTGTGTGGTACCTCCCCCATTGATTAAATCCTCAAGTGTTGGACCTGGTTAAAAGGTGTGAGATCACTTCCACGAAATTTACTGGACTACCAAACGTGCGAGCGGCATGCGAAATGGTTCAATTCCAGCACCAAATGGTCAAGATAAGTTATTTTTTCCAATTGCATGTCTTACCGTATATTCGCTAAATGTTTATAAAAGCATTTCACAAAGTTTATATAAGCATTTCACAATGTTGCAAAAAGAAAATACTAAGAATTCTTTTATTGTCTCAAAAACTAAATTAAAAAAGAATAAGAACATTTCCTTAAGTTTAAACAAACAACCTCATTTTCTCATAGCAGACAAATCATAAACAACCATCGAAAAAGGCGTAAGATAAATAAATAATAAACTAAACATGCAAGAAGACAAAAAATAACATAAACAAGTTGTGTGTGAATAGCAGTATTGCCAGATGTAAAAGTTGAAATTATCGAATTGGGGTAAATAAAATTATCGAATTTTCGGAAATTAAGTTACAATAATTGTAATAATTATGTAACAATAATTATTATAATTTAATCATAAAAAAAAGTAAAAGAGAAAGAATCGAATTTTTAGAAAATTATAAAATTTGTAAAAGTAAAAAAATACCCCCCACTGGGAACTGCCTTATCGCAGCGATTGCGGCCTTACGCTCGGCACGAGTGATGGGCTCCTCCGCGGGGGGGTGCAGCCTCCCGTGGCCTATACGGGGGATGGTCTACATGGCGGTAGTCGTAGTACGATTGCCGTTGTGAGGATTGTCTTCCGGGGGGGCCGCGGGGGGTTGTATTTCTTTGCGGGGGAGTTTATCATGTGTGCCGATTATCGTACCAATGGGAAAAAACCATTACCAAAAGGGTAAGAGTAGCCCAATTAAACACTGGGCCCACGTCACTCGTAGACAACGCAACAACATACTACAAGCCACCCTTAAAACTAGATCTTAAAGACAAAAAAATCGGTAGACCATGCTTCACATTTCATGACACGTAGCACAATACATGCACTTCTCACAAAGTAACAAGACCAGTTGGGAGCAACTAAACAACAATAAAAAAAAAAAAAAAAAAACAACCGACACACTTTACCAAGTTCAGGAACTATCCGACACGGATAATGACAATAATGAACAAGACGAAGACCTCGACTAGGAAACTACACCCCTGCAGCGTAATAACAACTCCCCAACTCCAAATAGTAATCCCAAATGTTTGGAGTAATACTAACCGACTGGTCTAGGGGGATTCCGCGTCGTACTTAGTTTTAAGTCGGCGTAATTGTCCCCCAAAAACCAACTCCCTCCCATCCCTCATCCATACCTCACTGAGCGTATAGCATAGGCCCGGCGAACCCGGGAACGGCTATTATAACTATTCGCCTCTCGCTCTCGAGCCCCAAATAGGGGACAGTACGGAACGCAATGGACATTCGCACCCAGCAAACACGGGTGAAGCCGTACAGTTGCTGGGGAAGAACAAAAATCGGCGTAAGTAAACATAGGCCTGTACGGGGTTTAAGAGTCAAGAGGAAATGGGGCTGGTTATACGTCTCTTATACTCATACTCATACTCATAATCTTTTAGACTATTTAGCCAGCTCATTATTTTTTTTTTTTTATGCTTCGAAAAACAAGCACAACACCCAAGGCTGTGACCGGGAATCGAACCCGGTACCGTGGCGCAGATTGATTACGGCTCTGTAGCTTTAACCCACTGCGCCATCCTCGGCCCCCAACCTAAAAATTATTTCAGTTTTGAAACTGTCAAGCGGCACGACGTAAAAAAATGTGAAATTGTCTGCTGTAATGATCAATCATCGTGCAATGACTTATTTACCCGCATTATTAGAGGATTGTGGCTCCTACTTGAAGAAAGAAAATTTGTTTTGAATTGTTCACGAATATTTGCATCTTAACTATTCAAAACTCAAAGTTCTAAATGGAAAAAAAGGTGAATAGAATAGTGTCTAAATATTATATATATTTCATTAGACATAGACATTTTATTTATTTCAAGTCCTGCATTTTCGCCATTAAGAAGAAAGGAGGTGTCCAACGAATATAGAAAACATCTAAACTTTGTAATGAAAATGTATCAAAATTATCATGTAAACAAATAAAAACCAGATTGTCAAAAAAATATTCTGTCATTATAAACGTCAAAAAAATTTCCAGTATAATTTGCTGTTGGGTACCCACGAGGAAAAAAATTTCCACTAAAATTCAACCGTTGCCATGGTGATCTATCAAAAATACACGTTTTGATTGGTTAAAAATTACAGGTGTGGAATTTTCACCCATAATATAACAAGTGGTATGATTATCATCGATGATATTTTCGAATTGAAACCAAACTGCAGATTTCACGAGTCCGCAGGACGAGTGAAATGTGCTGCTTCGGTTTCAATGAGTAAATATCTTCGATTATTAATCATACCACAAGTTATATTTAGTGAGAAAATACAATGAATTTTAGGAATTTAAAAATTTGTCAGATTGACATTTAAAATTAAAATGTGCTTTAAAATATAAAAAGACTTTAATAAACCTTATTTATTCAAACTTACCTTAATTTCATTATCGTTTACACCAACCCATCGATCTTTTAGAGTTTATAATTCATTATTTTATTCTGCCGTGCTTAATGAAAACGCCGTAACCAACAATTTTGCAATTTTTGGTTTGCGGCATTTTCTACTAGAAAAATTCATCCTGCGTCTATCCCCGGTACTCAAAAAACCGTATCTATATATATACGGTTTTTTGAGTACCGGGGATAGACGCAGGATCAATTTTTCTAGTAGAAAATGCCGCAAACCAAAAATTGCAAAATTGTTGGTTACGGCGTTTTCATTAAGCACGGCAGTATTGATATATATCAAATACAGAATTTAAATGACAACAGATGTTAAATCAAAAAAAGTGTCAAAATTCTTAGTAACGTGTAAACAAGATCATAAAAAATATTGCCGCTGGGATAAAATGCGGAACTATGGAATGCTGGCATTTTATTGGTTCTAATATTAATGAATTGTATTGTCGAAATAATTGGCCTGGGAGTTTTTATTGAAACACCCTGTATAATAAGTAATGAGTATTGAAAATAATAAAGTTTAAATATACCTAGAACGCTTAAAATAAAATAAATCCTTTTATTACAATTATTACCAAAGTTATAAAAATTCAAAGTTTAAAAAAACATATGTTTTCCCATTAAAATCTTTGACTGCCGTGGGGCCAGGCTAATATTAAGAGCTAAAACTTTACAGGCATTTTTTTAATTTATTTAAACCGATTTAGTACTAATGTTAAAAAAAATCGAAAATATTCCAAAATAGAACTGATGATATTATTATTAATAATATATGTTTCTAATTCTAGTTTGAATATATGCCTAGTTCTATATTAAAGTGCAGCTTGAATTCCATTGAATATTTGAATCGGTTTATTAGCACTTTCCCGAATCACTAATCAATATCAATAGCTATTAATAAATTCATTAGCAACATTATTAAACTCTATAATCTCTTAATACAAATGTGCACCCCAAAATGGTAAAAAACAATTATGTGCTCAAAAATGGCGAATGCGCCGGGATCAAAGTAAAAATATTTACGGAAAATTACATGTATAAATTAAAGTTTTTATTACTTACTTATGAATATGATTATTGTGTTTTATTTAAAAAGTATTATAGGACGATACCTCCATAAATTAAAAGGTACAAAGTATGACCAGTCGCACCCTTTATCATAAAGTTAAACATTAAATTTCTGTGAATCAATTGTTTTTTTTTAAACATGCCTGCTAAAACGTCTTTGAATATTAGACATATGGTGTTTGCATATAGGTAGGACACTTTAACAAAATCTTTATTATAATGGGAACCATAATATGGTTTCCATTATAATAAGGATAAGGTTAAGTGGAAGAACAGATGTTTTCTTTTAAACACGCTGAACTTCGCCGTTTGAAAATGTAAAATTTTTCAATAAAGACTTATATTATTATTATTATTATTATTATATAATAAAGATTTAAGTTTCAACTAAAAACTAATATTTTTGCTTGGTAACATATACCTGCAAATTAGCCGTTTTAACATTAAAAAGGGTTTTTGAAATTTTGTTTAATGAAATAATTAATTATAATTAATAATGGTACCAACTAATTAACGACTCAGCTATTTTTATAATAATGGTGTAAAGTGATCACCATTTACTTAAACGCAAAGATTACACCGTCGCGTCGGTTAATTGACTTGTGGACCCTATGGAAGATCAGAGGGGATAGCCTCTACATGTGTACAAGCACCCATTATTCCTGATAAAACAGCGTCCCTGTGGTAAAATTTATAACCCAGATTTCTCTGAGTCACAAAATCCCGCTAGCTCAGGTGGTCGTGGGTGGAAAGTTCTTTGAGAATTGCTACTTGCCTTAATGGGCACCAAGTAATTTTAACCGTGTTCTAATATATTTTTTTATTTCTATTTTGGTACACCACTTACAATTGAAATTAATTTTTGTCTTTATAACAACCCCTCGTATTTATTGGCCAATAAGTATTAGGTTCACAACCGAAACTATTTGGAAACTTAAATTGGATCTGACCTTAAGGGAGTTTACGTAGACTTCAATATTCCAAAAATCAAGTCCAAGGTGTCGATAAAGATATGAAGTCTTCAAGTTTACCGACAAATACTTTGCAGGATGCTGGGCTCTACGCAGAACGCAGTGTAAGCGAGCAATAAGTGTGATCCTGAGATTGTATTGAACATGAAATGGTGATGGCGTAAAACAATAGCTACAACTGTACTATAACCCTTTTTGAAAGTTCTTCTAGATAATTATTTCTTTTAGATGGAAAGGGAGAATATGCAGATAAAAATCCACGTAGAAAATGGTGAGGTGGCTTCTTAAAAATCCGTTATAACCGTTAGGAGTTTGCCAACAACAAAACAATACTCTTCAAGTTAGTGCTGTATCCAGGCCCGTTCCTGGCGAGCGTGCAGTGCGTGCACGCACGCAGGCGCAACATTTCGGGGGCGCAAAATCAAAGAGTCAATCAGTACTTTGTAACGATAAACTTTCTTTCATATGATACTTAAACATACATTGGATAAAGATTTCTGCCTTTTTTGCGTCGGCCGCTCTTTTTTTCGGTCGCTATAAAGCGCCTTTTGCCGCTTTGATGTTGGCTGCTTATTTTGTTTTAATATGAAGTTCAAAATAAAAGGAGAGAAATGGTCATATTATCTTTAGTATTTGTTTGATAGTTGCAGTTAACGGTAGCAAAGTTTAACAGTAGTAACTCTCTAAAATAGAATTAGTCAAAAATGACTAATTCCATTAGTCTAATTGCAATAGCGAAAAAGCAGCAACTAATAATTATTGTCAATAGTAATTTGTATCCCGGATATTTAGCAGTCAACTTCTATGTAAAATTGTCCGCTAAATCCGAAAATATCGTCAAAAGTTATAAAAGTAGAACGTTTTTGAGATTTAGTAAATTTTCCATATAATATGGTATTGACTTTATCTTAAAAACTGCTTTACTTTTATAATTTTTGACGGTATTTTCAGATTCAGGGGACAATTTTACATAATAATAAGCTGTTAAATTGCCCGGGATACAAATTGCTGTGGACTAAAGTTATTAGTGACTGCTTTTTTACTTTGAAAACTAGTCATTTTTAGAGAGTACGTCACTAAAAACCAGTTGAAGTTATTTTATTGTTTAGATTGTTTTTTTTTGTTTTCTTTAGAATATTTTTAACACTGACTATTCCCTCTCGTCTTAATTTTCACCAATCACAAACGCGCAATTTTAAACTACAAATGGTTTCTAGGTGGAAAAACTGTATGACAGCACCTGTCAGCAGTTTTTTTCGAGTTTACCCGCGGCAAAACTTGACAGCTGTTGTCACAAAAAATTGCAATTTATATTTTAATTGTTAACTGTTACTCATGAAATAGTCTTGTCAAATACCATTCGGGCATCTAACTTTTCCTATGAAAAAAAACAATGCTAAGTAATATTTTTTATCAAAATGCATTCGTGCAGGTGCAAAAATCCTCGTCTTCGACTCGGATTTTTGTTGCCACCAACACTCATGCTTCTTGTTAAAATATTACTTAGCAACGTGTTTCTTCTATTTTTTTCGATAAAATAGATGCCCTTATGATATTACTTTGTTTGGTAATAAATATTTTTATACTTAATTTAAGCGGTTTTTTTTACATTTTCAATTACATATTGCCAGTTTGTCGCAAAATATATATTTTTTAAATTTTACGGCTTAAAATTCAAATATTTAATGTTTTATATATAAATATAAAAGGGGCGCACCAACGAATGCTGCACGCAGGCGCCAGACACCCCAGGAACGGGCCTGGCTGTATCAACTATAAGCAAAACTTTCCAATTCGGGTAACACGGTTAAATTCACAAACCACAATTAAGAATACATTTTGTACAAACTAAACTTTTTAGATAACCCCATCGATTGGAAAATTGATGGTCCAGATACTGGGTTCAAACCAAAATGTGTTTCCAGGCCCGTTCCTGGCGAGCGTGCAGTGCGTGCACGCACGCAGGCGCAACATTTCGGGGGCGCAAAATCAAAGAGTCAATCAGTACTTTGTAACGATAAACTTTCTTGCATATGATACTTAAACATACATTGGATAAAGGTTTCTGCCTTTTTTGCGTCGGCCGCTCTTTTTTCGGTCGCTATAAAGCGCCTTTTGCCGCTTTGATATTGGCTGCTTATTTTCTTTTGATATGAGGATCAAAATAAAAGGAGAGAAATGGTCATATTATCTTTAGTATTTGTTTGATAGTTGCAGGTGACGGTAGCAAAGTTTAACAGAAGTAACTCTTTAAAATAGAATTAGTCAAAAATGACTAATTCAATTAATCTAATTGCAATAGCGAAAAAGCAGCGACTAATAATTATTGTCAATAGTAATTTGTATCCCGGATATTTAGCAGTCAACTCCTATGTAAAATTGTCCGCTGAATCCGAAAATGTCGTCAAAAGTTATAAAAGTAGAACGTTTTTGAGATTTAGTAAATTTCCATATAATATGGTATTGACTATATCTTAAAAACTGCTTTACTTTTATAATTTTTGACGGTATTTTCGGATTCAGGGGACAATTTTACATAATAATAAGCTGTTAAATGCCCGGGATACAAATAGCTGTGGACTAAAGTTATTAGTGACTGCTTTTTTTACTTTGAAAACTAGTCATTTTTAGAAAGTACGTCACTAAAAACCAGTTGTAGTTATTATATTGTTTAGATTGTTTTTTTTCTTTAGAGCATTTTTATCACTGAATATTTCCCTCATTATAATATGAACCAATCAAAACCCTTGAATTTTCGAATAAATTTCGTTTAAATAAGCGATTAAATCACTTGAACTATTTAACAGCGTTTAAATTTTAGCCTCCATATTGGATTTTTGTTTACGATTTTATGGTGTTATTTACAAGTTTTAACAAACATTTTTTAAAAAACAATAAAAAATAAGTTATCTTGTTTACGAAATATCAATTATTACTTATTACATACCTTAAATTAATGGAATTTTCTTTAAAAAAATATTTATAAATTTTGACACGCAGGTACGTCGGATTTTATGAATTTTCAAATAGTTTCCTTTAATTCAAGAAATAATCTAGACGTATATCACTCAACCTATAAATTTAATCTGTCAAACTATGCTTAGTAAGTTTTTTATTTGATTTTTCTTTTTGGAAAATAGTTTCATGCAAAATAATTGAAAATAAAACCCCTCAACCGCTACGCGGTCTCGTGATTTTATTAAATTATTTTGCATTCAACAAGAAAAACCAAACAAAAAACTACTGAGCCCAGTTTAACCGATTAAATTCATAGTTCTCGTGCTATAATATATGACTATTTCCCTCGTCTTAATTTACACCAATCACAAACGCGCAATTATGAACTACAAATGGTTTCTAGGTGGAAAAACTGTATGACAGCACCTGTCAGCAGTTTTTTCGAGTTTACCCGCGGTAAAACTTGACAGCTGTTGTCACCAAAAATTGCAATTTATATTTTAATAGTTAACTGTTACTCATGAAATAGTCTTGTCAAATTACATTCGGGCATCTAACTTTTCCTATGAAGAAAATCGTTAAAACACAATGCTAAGTAATATTTTTTAACAAAATGCATTCGATCAGGTGCAAAAATCCTCGTCATCGACTCGGATTTTTGTTGCCACCAGCACTAATGCTTCTTGTTAAAATATTACTTAGCAACGTGTTTTTTCGATTTTTTTCGAAAAAATAGATTATTACTTGTTTGTTTGGTAATTTAATAAATATTTTTTATACTTAATTTACGCGTTTTTTTACATTTTCAATTACATATTGCCAGTTTGTCGCAAAATATGTATTTTTTAAATTTTACGGCCTAAAATTCAAATATTTAATGTATTATATATAAATATAAAAGGGGCGCACCAACGAATGCAGCACGCAGGCGCCAGTCACCCCAGGAACGGGCCTGTGTGTTTCGTCAAGTTCGTCAAACCACATTCTGTTTAAAAAAAAAATAGGATTTAAAGCATAATTTTTTAAAATTAATTAAATTAAATTAGTTAACGGATAAGGAAAAAACACATACGCAACGCGTCGCTAAGAGAAATTTCTTACCGATAATGTGTGTTTTAAGTTAAATTTAGATTGTCAGACTTTCATTGTACCAATTTTATTGTATACACAACGTTTTGATCAATAAATTATCTTTGATCGTCTTCAGGTGTGAATGAGATTATAAATAGTCTGCCCAAGCGTAACCAAGTTAAAACCACATACTGTTTTTCAAAAGGTTTAGAAAAAAATCTAACATAGTACCAAGAACAGCGCTGTCATTGAATGCATTCAAATTGAAGCAATCTAAATTGTTATTTGCTCAATTAATTACTATTACACCAAAATAGGAAAATATTTTACCTAAATGTCAAAGAATGTATTGCGTTAAATGTATACATAGTATAAATACAATAGTATACTATACGTTATAACGTTATTAATAAATAAATTAATAATTAATTAAATAAATCAAATTAGTATTTAATGCAATAGCATTCTACCATTCTAACAAATAAATATCAATATGAATATCAATAGATTTAGGAGCGATAACTTTTGTTGTTAATTTAAAAACAGTAAAAGATTATAAACCAAGTGCTAACTACCTATTGATATTATAGGAACTGTTATTCAGGAATACGGATAACAAGATCCCATTGGTTTAAGCGTAACCAAGTTAAAACCACATACTGTTTTTCAAAAGGTTTAGAAAAAAATCTAACATAGTACCAAGAACAGCGCTGTCATTGAATGCATTCAAATTGAAGCAATCTAAATTGTTATTTGCTCAATTAATTACTATTACACCAAAATAGGAAAATATTTTACCTAAATGTCAAAGAATTTATTGCGTTAAATGTATACATAGTATAAATACAATAGTATACTATACGTTATAACATTATAACGTTATTAATAAATAAATTAATAATTAATTAAATAAATCAAATTAGTATTTAATGCAATAACATTCTACCATTCTAACAAATAAATATCAATATGAATATCAATAGATTTAGGAGCGATAACTTTTGTTGTTAATTTAAAAACAGTAAAAGATTATAAACCAAGTGCTAACTACCTATTGATATTATATGAACTGTTA